CCAAAGAAAAGCCATCTGCAGCCATTTTAGCAGAAGACAGTTATACCACCTGAGGCAATACTTTTGCAAAACCATAAGCAGGTAAGATCATTCGTCCCTTAAAGCTCCACTGATGTTTTTGATGAGGAGCATTGCTCAGTTACCTAAACAAACACATCTAGTGTGATTTTAGGCATTGTGGGGTGTCATGCATGGCTGTGAGTTGGGGTCCAGAATGATGCACATCTCCATAAGCCCCATGTAAGGATGTCTCAGATTCCTAGGATGTCTGAATGGCACTTACCAAAGGAATTCCACCAAAGATTTCTGATAACTACAATGGCAGCTTAGATTCTATCTCCTTTGTAGACTCCTGCATTTAGATATCTTTGTTTAGGCTAATAGGAAACATTGTCTTTATGATAGAATCCAAACCTGATATGTAAGTTCACTGTAAGCAGAACCTGTGGAGCAGTGCAGGTAGAAGTTCAGCCATTATGCATCTGTAAAAGAGCAGTGATTTTTGTATGCATAGGAGTTGTACATAAGTCTTGTAAGTTCTATAAGGCTACCGTGGGATCTTGGTGTACAGTTTCTGAAATGCTGTAACTGTGTTGATATGGTTAACATCACACTGATCATGGTCTGCTTTTTTTTTTTTTTTTCAAGTATGCTAAATACGAGTCCACCTGATTCTGCTTACCAGGATAGACAATTTCTGGAATGTTGACAGTAATTCTGTACTTTGATAAAATTTTATTCTTAGAATAATGCTATTCTAAGTCCCACTAATGAATGATAGCTCTATGAAGAAGCAGAAAAATGTCTTTTTAAATGTTATTCTATGACAACTTTCCTAGCCATTTGGAGCATTTAGTTCTGATGAGATTTTCACCAGATTTACCAAAAAAAAAAAAAAAGTGTTCTTCCTTGCTGTTTTTTTTCAGTTTAGCACTAGACTGTGCTTGTAGGAATTATTTATAAACAGCAAGTTCTGGTTTTCTTGGTTACTTTCCGTAGATTTATAATTAGAGTGCTGTTCCTCATTAGACACCTTATTATCTGTGCAGGAGGAATGGTTTTGAAAGGAAACAAGCTTTTCATTTCTTAAACTATGTTTTGAATATTTAGATGAGGAGGAAAACAGTTGTCAGTGGATAGAAAGCTGGATATCAAGTGTGCCTGGAGATGAGGCTAGAAGTATAGCTCATTTCTGAGATTGGATTATGTAACTGAAAAGGTAAAAATTTGAAGAAGAGCTTTTCTCATATCAGTTTGACTTTGGCCCTGATTTTCCAGTGAATATGTCATGACTCTTTATTATGTATTTAGGAGAAATTCCTCTCTCAGAACTGAAATCCTAACTACTTTTATTGCCCATACTATATAGAACATAGGTATTTTTGTTGTAACTGCTTAATCAGTATCTCCGTATCAGCAGAGCTAGAGATACTTACATGTGCTTATAAAGTGGGATAAAAATTTTCAGTAGTTCAAAGCTGGACTAGAATCACAGAATGGTTTGGGTTGGAAGGGACCTTAAAGTTCGTCTAGTTCCAACCCCCCTGTGCCATTGGCAGGGACACCTCCCACTAGCCCAGGTTGCTCAAAGCCCCGTCCAACCTGGCCCTGAACACTGCCAGGGAGGGGGCAGCCACAGCTTCTCTGGGCAACCTGTGCCAGTGCCTCACCACCCTCACAGTGAAGAATTTCTTCTTTACATATAATCTAAATCTACCCTCTTTCAGTTTAAAGCCACTACCCCTTGTCCTATCCCTACTCTCCCTGATAACGAGTCCCTCCTCATCTTTCCTGTAGGCCCCTTTAAGTACTGGAAGGCCACTGTCAGATCTTCCTGGAGCCTTCTCTTCTCCAGGCTGAACACCCCCAACTCTTTCAGCCTGTCCTCATAGAGAGGGTGCTCCAGTCCCTTGATCATCTTCATGGCCTCCTCTGGACCTGCTTGGGCAGGTCCTCTGGAAAACTGAGTATCAGTATCCAGTGGAGGGGTTTTACAGTTTTCACAAAGACAAAATCACGTGCATGTGTAATCTCTGTAAACACCTCTGTATTAAATATTGCTGTGTACCCATAGTGGTACCATTCACATCTACAGATAAACTCTGACAGTGATAAATAACACCACTTCCAATGGAGTTTAGATGAAAACATTTTCAGTTTTTATGTTCATTGTTCATCGGATATAATGATAGGTAAGAAGCCACCTTTTCTCAGCTCTTAAAAATGTGGAATAATTATTAGCTCTTGCTTTCCATCATAGATGCTGGAGTGTATTATAGAAGAGTCAAGTTTGTCATGTTTAGCTTCATAATCAGTCTTCTCACTAAACCAAAAAGATTTTTATTTTTTTTAAAAAAAAAAAGAACACACCCTTGTCAAACCTGCTGTCATTTTCCTCCTACCTGTTTACCTGTTGGAAATGCCAGGAGACAGGATTCTGACAGTGGTTGTGCTTGTTCTCAGAAGACTTTCCACTGTGTGGAGTCCCCAGGAAATGACAGTAGGATCGTCACTGGGAATCTTCGTGCACTGCTGCCAGGAACCTGCGCAATAGTGTGCCAGGGCACACGACCAGGTGGTAATATGAAATGGTGCATGCTACCCTAAATGGTACTGTGTGTGCTGGCACTGCTGCTCAGTCTACTTGCTGTGTGAGAAAAAATGAATGGTTATCAAACCTTGGAACAGACTGCTCAGGGAAGTAGTAGTTTAAATACCTCCCTGGAGTTATTTAAAAGACATGTAGTTGTGGCACTTAGGGACATGGTTTAGTGATGGACTTAGCAGTGTTAGGTTAATGGTTGGGCTCTGTGATCTTAAAGGTCTTTTCCAACCTAAATGATTCTATGATCTCACCAAAATATTTTGCACTTGATTTTCTTTTGTTAGAGTTGAAACAGATTGCCGTTTTCACTGTTTATAGTGAAATACAGTTACAGAGATAGATTGGAAAGCTGACTGGAAGAAGCCTCAGTTAAGGAAATACAGGAAGGTACCTGTTAGTAGAAGGTCTTTTCCCCAGTAAGGTGAGCTGCATCCGGATGAATGCATCTGTTGCTGAATGCCCATTGTTTGAATCATGGTTGTGCTGTGCTACAAAAGGGACTTTCTACCAATGGCACTGGTGATTTCTGCTTTTATTTCATTCCTAACATTTCTAGAGCTGAAATATGTAGCTGGCAATATAACGCACTACGAGGGTACCTTCAGTTTCTGAAGTGGTCTCTGTAGCATCAGTGTATGGTTAATGTGTAGCCTGAACCCATGCAGGATTAATCTTTGCTACTAGCGCATTTCACAGCAGTTCTCAGAATGTGGTGTGTGATGCACAAGTACTAGACACTGTGGAGAACTCCCATTAACTCTGCTGCACATGCTGGTATACCCAGTGAGGCTTTTTATCTGAAGTTTTAAAATTTGGTCTGTGAAGTTGCAAAGGACACCAGACAAGCCTGTGGACAATGGGACAAAAGAGAACAATGAAAGTGGTATAAGCTGAATGTCTGTGGTATCGTGATTCTTAATTACAGGTGTGCAGTTATGCTTAAGATGGTGGAAAGCTTCCAAGTAAGGTCCAAAAATACTCTGCTACACAGCTAACTCAACCAGAAAGAGTATAGGCCGAGAAACAACTAACCTACTGAGCTTTTGCATACCTCTAAATATTCTTGGCTAAGCAGCTTTATGTTCAACTTCTAGAAACATTACCTAACAGTCTCCTGACTAGCAAGTTAACTTCTGATGAGCATGAAAACAGTCATTGTGGAGACAACAAGCAAAAATTAAAAAAAAAAAAAAAGGAAGAGGGAAACATTGACAAAAAATAAGAGGCAGCATTTGGACCAAAATATACAAAGGTGTTCAAAATAAGACCCTTTCCTCTACCACACTTTCAAAAGAGCATGCAGATCGTTCCCACCAGTTCCCATCATGGCATAGGCTGGAGTGGAAGAGAAGTAGGTTTTTGTTCAGATTTCTTTAACATAAAATACTGGTTCAATACCTGTATTTCAATCAGTCATAGAAGAAAAGCATCAGAATGCAAACAGGTAGTAGAACATCTGCATACTCTCATGCAATGATAAATGTTCACTTGATTTGACATCAGAAGTCCATTTTGGACTTGGTTTAGCTCTTATATTTCCGCAATGGGAGGGAGAATGTTTCTGTTTAAAACATTGTATTTCATGGTGTTATAAATACATAAATGTCATAGTAATGGCAATCTGATTGAATAGAGTAGTAAGGAGATAATTGGTTCTTTTTTTCTACATATTTTTACAAAAAATATCATTTTTACTTTTAAAAATTTATAATACCCCTGGCTATTTTATTTTACTATATTGAAGTTTTATCCCAGGCTGAAACCAACTTAAATTCAAATGAGAGTGTCTGTATTGAATCAGATGAACCAGAACATTGTATCTGGTATTGTTTTATTAATTTTCTCAGGAAATAGATTTTAATTATTTTTTTCAGTGTTGGTATTACTACTGCTTGTGTTACTTATACATATTTCAAACATTTAAAATAAGCATTTTGTTTCCAAAACCAAATCTGTTTCCGTTGTTTTTGCATTAAGGAGACACACGTTTGCAAAACATAAAAGTCAGCTGCACTCCGAGTGTTCACTGGAGGTCTGTTTTTTAAAAATCAGTTAAAATTAGGAAACCTTGAATGAGGGCTCCTGTCTTTGTCCTTACTCTACTCCTTGGAACATTTTCTTCTGAGTTTTCTTGTTCTCAGTCCAAATGATAATGTATGATTAACTGGTGTAGGATGAGGACCATGATATCATTGTGCAGCATGAGTTTCAAAATTACATTTTGGCCATTTTATCAAAGGAACAAAACTTGTCTGGAGATGAAGAGACTGATGATGATTGTGGTGATGATGATGATGATGAAGATGATGATGATGATGATGATGATGAAGAAACAGAAGAAGAAGGAGAAGAAAAAGAAGAAGCAGGAGGAGGAGGGAAAGGAACAGAGAAAGAAGAGGAAATAGAGGAAAAATATGAAAAGGAGAAGCATAGTAAAACACCTGAGGGAGAGAAAAGCAGTAATAGCACAGATGAAACTGTAGAGGTAAAATCATTTATCCCTATTAAGTTATTGGTCTCTGAAAGAATTTGGTTCTATAACTTATATTAGTTTGTATGTATGTGTAGTTACCTTGGAAATGCAAAGCTGGTGTTATAGGTGGTTTCAGTAGAGGGAGGAACATGTATGTAGGTGTTAATAGTTAAACATTTTATTTTTTAACGTTTGAAATTAGAAATGTCATTGTTTTATCTCTCTATAGCCAGAAGAGACTACTCAGAAAGAGACCATCATTCAGCAGGGTAAGAATACAACTCGTAAGAAACGGACTGTTACGGACATTCTAAAAACAAAACATTTCAAAAGATAAAGCTTTTCTAACAATCTCTATTATAAAAATACTGAACAATACACTTACTGTCAGTAGTTGGTAAAGCAGTTCTTAAGACATGCTGAAATTTGAGAGGAAAAAAACCCATGACTAATTGTTAATGATTTGAAAGAAAAAATTACTTTTCCCAGTTATGTACTGGAGGAAGTCTTTTTAGCAGAATGATATCTTACTTGCTAAGAGCAGTTCTAGCTCTGCAGTGACAATGTAATGGTAATTGTATTGTCTCTCAAACAACTTCTTTAGGTGCCATGTTTCTTCACTTCAGTAGAAAAGCTTGTCAAAAGTCCTCTGTCAACTGACATTTCCTCATTTCATTCACAAACATTATTTTAGGTGAAGTGTGGTAATTACTGAACACTGTTCAGAGATGCTGAAGATGTAAGTCTAGATGTTGCTTGTAGTTTTGATGGCAGTTTGAGCGAGCTGTATATTCCTTCAGAAAAGCTGGGGAGTGTGAACTTGAGTGACCTATATGCAAGACAAGTAAAAAATACTTATTTTATTTTATAAAATCTGGAATCTATAATTGTTCTTTTGAAAGCCAGTAATAAATGTAGTATAAAAAAGACCACTGCCTTAATACTGAAGAAGCTATGCCATTTATTTTCAATAGTATAATGGAAATAGCTTGTCCAGAATGGATGCTTAAATATTTTTCCATCATACAGTGATCTGGAAGTTTTGATATTAAGTTCTAAATTTATATCATTCCTGCAGCAGTATAGGAAAATTTAAACATAGGAACATCAACTCAGATGGAAAGTTCTTACTTTCCCAGAATTGTTTCTATGGAATAAAATCCATGCTGAACCGTAACTCCTGCCCTGAAAGTCAGCTTTTCCAAATTAGAATATCCTTTCACAATCAGTGTGCAAGACATGGTCTTCTGTCAGTAAGAGGAAACTACAAGTGTCAAGTCAAAACATTTTCTATAATGTGACTGCCAGAAGTGTTCTGTTCTTGAAAATTGAGCATCTGGAGAATAATACAAGGACATTATATTGAGAGGTTAAAAACATTAAAATGTTCTTGTCAGGCTGGACATCAAGTCGAACTGAATATTCTGGTCGCTTTTTTTTACGAGTCACATTTTATGTAGTGACTTTTACTTTAAAAATAATTTGAAGAACATTTTTTTCTGCCCTTAATTTGCAAGAATCAGAAGGAAGTTAATATGAAGGTTTATATTATTGTAGAGAAAGAAGATACTGACAACCACACTGTGAACAGTTCTACAGAGAACACTGATGACCAAATAACTGGAGGAGTTGGGAGGAAAAAGGTACATGGCCTGATTTTTCCTTCTAGTTTTACCAGTGACCAAGAAGGCAGTGGGCAGTTACCAAGCTGAAGAAAATACTCCAGTTTACCTGATCTGTGTAAACAAACTGCTGAGCAACCTGTTTCTTCTGTTTAAGATTTGATTTTACTTTGTGGTAACTTAAAATTGTCCAAATAATCGCTCTATTAAAATAAATCATAGTAGTTCTGTCAGCAGAAATGAGATAGAGCCCATTATCACCTGTTCATGTATATCATGCTCATGAAAGACATGGTCACAGCAGATTTTGGTGAGGTGAAAAAACTCAGGACTTGATTCCTATTAGATATAATTCAAAAATATTTCTCTCTGAAAGCAGCAGCTGAGCTAGTTGACCTTGTATTTATTTCCAACATGCACTGATTTAAAGAGTGGTTTTATATATATTTATATATATGTATATATAAAAGCATGTTGAGGAGTACCTTATATGTAATTTCTTACAGGTTTAGGATCCAAGGGCTTCTGCAGAGACTGGCTGCTGTGTTTCCTGTTGAACAAAGACCTTAAGCACCAGTTAACTTCAAGCCTGTGTGTAGTCTCACTGACATAGAAACACACTGTCATTAAATTTAATGGGACTACACACATGTTTATAATGAAGCATATTAATTATTTACTGCTCTGGGGCTTTGCAGGTCTGAGCCTGTATTTTTGCTTCAGAGTCTTGTTTGAAAGAAACAACAAAAAAAATTTTGTACCACTTGCAGTATATTTTACAAACTGTACAGTGTAATTTGACAAAATGGCAATCATTTTAACTTCTCTGATTCATTTGTGCTATTTTGACACATTTCAAATATTGCAGCCGAATGATTTCCATTACCATTTTTCAAATAGTCATTTTGTTTTGAAAAAATTATTTTTCCAAGGAGAAATTTGTGACCTAAATTAACTTTGGTATACAGAAAAGGTTTTGTGGTTTTTTTTAACCTTGAATTTCAGTTAACAGTTTCAGGCATACTATTTACCTTTTTTTTACTTCAGTTTTCCCTGTTTAAGCGAAAGCCACTGACAGGCCAGAAGAATGTATGTAGCAGAAAGGAAGATAGATTTGGAAAACCATTACAGAGCGGACAAGAAAAAGAAAAGGAAGATTTATCTGGTGAAGACAGTAAAGATGAAAACCAGAATCATACATCGGAGAATTCCAGGGAAACTGTGACTAACCAGGACAGAAGGATGGAATCTTCTACTTGTATATTACTCTAACACTGTTGTAGTACATAAGAATGTGACATTTTTAAAGCACATTGTGCAATTTTTACTTGAAAACGGTTATGACTCACTACAGATGTTGATGGTTGCTTTTCTGATTGGTTTGACTGCTGTGATTTTAAACATGCAAACCATTTTCTTGATATTTATTTTTAATTTTAATAGTTGCAATCAATAATGCTTATCAGCATCTTGGTGGAGTTCTGTGGCCTTAACTGTTAGTATTGTAAAACAAAATATATTTTTTTATGTGAAAAGTTGAATACAGACATTTCATGTTTTTTTCTAAATAATTTTATTCTGTTTCAGTCTACAGAGTAGCACTTTCAGTATGCTACTGTTGCAAAACTATAATATTTGATGTAAGATATTATTTGGTTTAACAATCTATTAACATGGTAATAATATTGAAGTTCACATTCTAAAGAGGGTACTCAGTTACCTAGAAATACATATGCCTCCTTCTCTTTTGACTTAGAAAAATAGCAATAAAAATTTCAAGTTAACATGTAGGCTGTAACTGAAGTTACTTCAGTATGTGCCTAATTTCATATATGACAGTAGTTCCACTGGAAACAGTACCTAAGAGTAGTGTAAGTATTTAAGTATCCTTTCAAACTGGGATTTAGAGAAACTTTCATTTCTGAGATGCTGAACACCTTTGCTCCTGCTGAAATCAGCATAAGCTGACAGGACTCTCTCCTCACAGAATCAGGCCAAATAAAAACTGGACATCTTCACTGTTGTTTTAGTTGGATTCTAATCCTATATTCCTTGAACATCTATACCTTAATGAGCCTCTAGTGAAGCTTTTCTTGCAGGAAAATAATGCAACCAGAGTTACTATGGAATACATTGGTATGACAAACAGATCATTATGGACTAAATATTCATGTTTTTCTCAGGCAACCTGGCTTTTTTTCAGATGGAGACTGAGCGGCGGGAGTTATGAATCCCATTACTGGTATGAATGAGCAGAATGTGTTTTGAATTAGTCCAAGAAGCAGATGTAACAAGCCCACTATTCTAATTACCAGCATTCCCTCTAAATAAAATTTGATTTCTAAAAATTTAGTCCAGATGAATAAGAAATATAACCCTTACCATGATGAATCTGATCCAGGGTCTGTGATTGCCCCTAAACTAAAAACTAAGCATACTAAAATATGCTTAGTTTTTATGAATATACACAATGTCTAGCATAAATATAAAATGCAGAATTATTTCTGAAGTGAGTACTCTTCAGAATACTTTATAAGGGACAGATGATCTTTGTAGAAAACGTAGGAAAATGTTATTTAATTTTGCTGACATACAATCACATTTTAATATGCTTTTGGCCATATTTTGCCTTTTGATTTTCAGTTTTTCTAGTTTCAGCGTTGCTTAAGTTTTATATAACATATTTAGAAGTGTGTGGAGTTGTATTCAACCTAGAAGTTGATTCATCTGAATGTTTTGTCCCTCTAAGTATGGCAGGTGCTCAGATTGTTTCACAGGGCCTCCTCTGTGCTACAGTAATCATCATACTAAAAACCTGGATGCTTGGGTCATCCTTTGCCAGAGTTAATCAAGATCCATTTGTTTCTGTTATTTTTCTTTGGGCTACTCTTTAGTTCTGCAATGAACCTTACATGAGCTATTTTTTTTCTGCCAATGTGCATTATATTTACAAATTTTCTTGGTTTTGTGAATGCACATGTTGTTTCTGTTTCTGTACTGTTGTGAATTGGAAAGGGAGAAATAAAGTAAATAGTGTCCTCATTAATTTAAATAAACTTTAATTATTTTTTAAGTGGAGATCAGTCACAGAAATTGTTACCATAAGGACAATTTCTTTTTTTAAAGTGTGAACTAATTTAATAAAAATATTAAAGTGGGAATTACCCTTAAACCTAATGCTACAGAAGTTTATGTAATGGATCCTAAACTGATGCACACCAAAGGAGTTTCAGGGACTTGAACATTTATCTGATCCATACACTTTGCTTAAGAAGAAGCAGGAGCAAATTAATCTATTCAGATGTCTTTTGTACATGTCTAGGTACTAAAAAAGTTTAAACAAATAAAACAAGTTACACGTACATGTCTATTAATTTAAAGGACTTTTTTAACAAATTCACAGCTCATGATAAAAATGTAAGGGGGTTTTATTACTGAAAGGCTTTCATCAACTGATGAGTAGCAAAACGTTGTAGAAATGTTCACAGTACATTTTTATCTTTTTTTTCTCACTTTCCCAAAGATAACGGTATTAACTTAAATCTTTATTTCTAGATTTCACTGCCTTGGCATACAACCGAGATTGTGTTGCTGATTTTCTAAAATTTCACCATCGAACCTACCACCAGGTGGAGTTTCTGCTCTTCGAAGGTGTAACTGTCTCATCCCACCCAGCCGCTGGAGCCAAACCCTGGCCTTTGAAAAGCAGTTAAAGATACTCTGTATCAGATTTTCTGATGCAAAATTCTCTGAAAACTTTATTTTTTCTGGCATGTCGTTTTTGGCGTTAAAGTGTGCTGGTACCTTGACATGTTTATATGGTGTATTTTTAAAGTTTTACACTATGTGTATTTGTAAAATATGTAAAGACAGAAAAATACAATTACTCATGTATTTCTCAGTGTATGTATAGATGTGCAGTGGTCAAATTCTGATACATAGATGTAGGTATACATGTTTTATCTAAAAGGAAGTGCTATTAGTGCATCTTGCATACATATATACGTATATGCACTAATACCTATATATGTGTGTATCTATATATATACGAAGATACATGTATACATAGACATATGTATGAATGTGTGCATGTATATCAATAATCAAACACTTGTGCCTCATGTGAAATTTCCATTTCATCCATATATTTACATATGTGTGTTTACTGATTTCCAGGAAGCACAGGAGTCACTTATTCAGCTACTGTTCCTATGCAAGTTTGTGGTGATTGAAGTAGAAAAGGAGAGAATATGCTGTTTGGACAGTATTTTATATACCCAGAGATAATAACATATCAAATGAACTTTATGCAACTTTTTCCTTTTTCTTCCAGGAAATAGTTGTATAATATGCAAACTACATCCAATCTTTGTCCCTGGGGAAGATTTTAAATCATGATGTTGACATGAGGGTATTTGAAGTAGCACAATGGTAAAACACTGTAAATCCTGATAATGATGTATACACAAGCTAATCCTACGTGACTTGAAAAACTAAGTAGGGGTTCACTTAAAATGTACTCAGGAATAACACACTAACATGTCCAGCATTTGACAACTGGCTTTTGACATCTAGCATTTTTGACATTTACTTAGTATATCAGAAATAATTTCTTGCACATGAAGCCCATTTTGTACTCAATTTCTGTTGAAATTGCTGGCCAGGCTCCTTGCCTTTAAGAACCACCAGAAAGGGGTGGTTCTTAAAGCAACATAGTTACTACCCATCCTGCTATCGCTACTCTCTATACCTAATAACCCCAGGTGAAGGAGTAACATTTCTCTCAGATTTATGACGTGCACATAGCAGTATAGATGCTTAACACAGATAAAAATTGTTCCAAAACCACCTAAAATATCTGAATTAGCAGTAGAAATCTATTTGAGTTAGATATTAAAATCCAATAATGAGCACATTTTAAAATACCCAAATGCTATATAGGAAAATTATAACCATTTACTGCATTCTTGGACTATTTTCTCTCGAAAATATAAGCAAACTATCTCTAAATGCCCTCAAAGTGTTTTAAAGAGCTATGTTATGTATACTGTTCACACTTATGGGGGGGGGGGTTTACAACATTTTCACACCCTGTTATGTCTAAATTCCTCTAAGAACATAAATAGTGTCCTGGTTAAGTGATGAGAATTGGAGATATTAATGCTTTGTTAGGTCTGCTTTGCTCAGTATCTCATACTGATGAGGTCTCAATCTTCACACCCATTAGCCTTCCAAGACTGTGTTGGAATTACATCTTAATCACGCTATGTAATTACCAGTTTATTTTTTAGGGCTAGATAGTAATGACTCAACAAAAGCACTGCAAATTCTAAAGCTGGTTAAACTGTTGTTCTTTTATTTGTATAAAAATTAATTTTCAGAAATGTCCCAACACTAGAGCACACCCCACCAGCCTGCAAGCACCCACAATGCACCCAGAGTGGGATGCTAACAGGGACCGGTGTCCTAGCAAAAGTTCATATGCAACAGGCTGACATCCAGAGGAAAAAAAATGGCCTCAGGAGCTGGCAGTTGCAAGCAGCTGGATGGAGGGTCTGATAACAGCAAACACTGAACAACAAATAAGTATTTCTAACTGTTGCTGTCACTAAAGATCATAAGAAAGTAATTCATAAACTTATTGTCAAAATTGTATACAGAAGGATTGCATTCTTTGAATTACTAATTTAGCACTGTCTCTATTTTTGCAGATGTTTACATGAGTAACTTTAAGTATTAGAGCATTCTCATTCAGTAAGGCTATTCATTGGGCTAAAAACACTGTAGTTTGGATTGGGCCCCCAGTTTGTCATCCTCTTATCATGACTAATCGAATCTTAGTTGGGGTTTCCAAAAACGTAATTACACACAGCTGGCTTCTTGGGTTTTGTTTTGGTTTGGTTTGGTTTTTTTCCTTATCATTCTTTTACTATTTGGAGAAAAATGAAACATTCTCACACACTTTCATCCTGCACTGTTGCTTAATTTCAGTTTTCAAAGTTTTCATTTACCTCTGAACAGTCAAAAACTGAATCTTCCACAAAAAGCACACTGATTGTTTCTTGTCTAATGCCAGTAGTGCCTGGAACTCCAAACAACCACAAGCTTAAATATTTGGAATATTTTCTACAAAAATTGAAAGCTGAACTGTGAGGA